TGCCGGATATAACCGGCGCTAGCCAGTGTGTAAATGTTATATTTATGCACGATAAATTAATTTAAACATTGCAAGAAACACTGTTATTATTTTTCTGTAAATTTTCTTTACAGTATGGCTTCAACATGGTCATTCAGCATCGAGAAGCAATCAATTGCATCGCGCTCAGCCTGATGCACAAGAGTTTAAGGTACAAAATATCCTTTCCGGATAATTCTAAGCAATACCTTCTGTATCACCGTGTAACTTAAAACTCGCCTTTTATATTCTCATATCTACGTAGTTTTAAGTCATACTCTGCACACTTCGCAGTATTGCATTACATTTCACCATGGCGTTATTATACTAGTGCTAAAAAATCTATCTACATCAATTAGTATTTTCCATTTCTCGCGTTAAAATAAAAAGTTATAATCATCCACAGTTTATATTTCTCAAAAAAAAAAAAGAAGAAATCTGTAATAGAAGGTAAATTTAGAAGATTTTGAATTTCGTAGCAAAGGATGAATTTATATTGCAAAATTAATAAACGAGACATTCTCCTTTTCAGGACGAAGGCTCTAGTACTGGAACTTCTCGCCGCTATCTGTCTGGTAAAGGGTGGCCACGAGATTATTCTGTCCGCGTTCGACAATTTCAAAGAAGTTTGTTTGGAAAGGCGAAGATTTACGACTCTGATGGCATACTTCACCCAATACGATAGCTTTCACATAGAATTCATGGTTGCCTGTATGCAATTCGTAAATATCGTGGTTCATTCGGTAGAAGATATGAATTTCAGGGTACACCTGCAATATGAATTTACCAAGCTTGGTTTGGACGACTATCTCGAAAAGCTCAGGCATACTGAGAGCGAGGATTTGCAGGTTGGCAAATAACATATTGTATCTTTTCATAAATCGTCGAAAATTGTACGCACAGTGTCTACACAGTAGCCTGAAGCATTCGGTAAAAACAAACGTTACAAAAAAAAAAAAAAAAAAAAAAAAACGAATCATTGATGACAAGGATAGACTTTTTTTTTTATCTGAACATAGCGCAAGTTTATAATTATAACCATATGAAACTAACTTCCCTGTTGTTTCATCGTTAATTTAGTCTTTGCGCGAATCAGATTAGACCTTAGATATTCTGTGATAGAAGATATCATTTGACGCAATTAAATTTTCTTATATTTAATATTTTATTCTGTTTTTGCGTTTTTTTTCTTTCCAACTTCGTTCGATTTTGGTACGTGCATTTCATACAACCTACGATTTTATGCTTCGCTGATTTGTATGTGGGACGGTAATAACCGTAATTCGTCAAGTGTATTTTCAGAACACTTTTTAATTGCACACATACGCAATAATAAATAATGAAACAGAAATATGAAAGCGCGGTGTAGTTGAAGAACATTCGTAAAATTGTTGAAAGTAGTAATATTCTCATCTTCATTTGACATAACATTTTTCCAGGTTCAAATCTCTGCGTATCTAGATAATGTATTCGATGTAGCTGCCTTAATGGAGGACAGTGAAACAAAGACTGCCGCGTTAGAAAAAGTAGCTGAATTAGAAGATGAACTTGGTCATGTAAGTAATTTCTTGTTTACATTGTATAATGCAATTAGTCCTATTTATTAAACACTCCTGTAATAACAAAACAGGCTCACGATAGAATGGCAGAATTGGAAAGAGAATCACTGGCAAAGTTAGCCGAATTAGAGACTGAATTAGGTGCGTTAAAAGTGGAATATGCTGATGCGGTAGATGCTCGTCGATTGGCCGAGGAAGAACTCACAGCTCTGAAAAGGCAAAAGCAAGATTCTGCTCGACGACAAAGTGTCCTGGAGAATAAGATTATCGAGTTGGAAACACTTACAGGAACTCTTACGAGGGGTTCTTCGGGTATGTTAAAAAATCTTAAATCGAACAGAATGATAATTACCGCTGTCTAATACCAACCACTGTTTTCAACTTAAACAGCGAGCCTTCGAAATGGATGTGCAACCAGTCCTGTTAGTACCTCGGATAACGTTACGTCCTCTACGCTTAATTCGAGCCCGTCTCCGACATCAGAAGAATCTCCTCCATTAGCCCCTGCACCACCTCCACCACCTCCACCTCCGTGTCCACCGCCACTCCCGATGGCACCTCTCTCTCCTGGAGATCAAAAATTACCACCACCTGCGCCTATACCTCCACCACCTGCCGGCATGATGCAAGCGCCGGATGGAGCAATGACTATTAAACGAAAGGTGCATTTTTCGTATAAAAATCTTAATACACGAGTTGTTGCTGAATTTATATGTTCCACAATTGATATTCCCGTCAGCGTGTTTGGATATCTTATATCGATGAGATAAATTTTGCATTTTTTGTTCTTCTTAACAATTGACATGTTTGTATATATTACTTGGTTCATAGGTTCAAACCAAGTACAAACTTCCCACACTTAACTGGATTGCCCTGAAGCCTAATCAAGTACGAGGCACTATTTTTAATGAGCTGGATGACGATCGATTACACAATTATATAGACTTCTCCGATTTCGAAGAACGATTTAAAATCGGTATGGGTAGTCACGTTGCTAATGGCACCAATGAAATCGACGGCCTGCAAAGTTTCCCTAGTAAAAGATTCAAGAAGCCAGAGAACGTGTCGCTTTTAGAACACACCAGATTACGAAATATTGGTATGCATATACTTGGGATTTTTATTCAATTTGAAAGTGTTCAAAAAATTATAAGTTCATATCTTTGTCCTCGCACATTTATAGCTATATCGCGACGAAAGATGGAAATGCCAGTAGAGAAAGTAATTATGGCAGTCAATGCTCTAGATCTGAAAATACTTTCGTTGGAAAATGTAGAGTTGTTGCAGCGCATGGTGCCAACAGATCAAGAGGTATGATTTGTTCTATTATATCTGAGAAAATCTGCACAAATGTATGGAAACATTATGATACTGATGAGAGATAAAAATCTTCTGTTACAGATAAAAGCATACAGGGAATATATCATAGAAAAGAAAAACGTGAGTCTTCTAACAGAGGAGGACAAATTTTTGATGCAACTCGGCAAAGTGGAAAGGATATCGACGAAACTGTCCATTATGAACTATATCGGAAACTTTTTTGACAATTTACATCTTATTACTCCGCAAATACATGCTGTGATATCTGCATCAAGTACGGTTAAGAGTTCAAAGAAATTAAGAGCAGTATTAGAAATTATCCTTGCGTTCGGAAATTATCTAAACAGTAGTAAACGAGGCCCTGCGTATGGATTCAAACTTCAGAGCTTAGACACATTACTCGACACCAAATCAACAGACAAGAGAATGTGCCTTTTACATTACATTGTAGCTACGATACGTGTCAAGTTTCCAGAACTAATTAATTTCGAATCTGAACTTATGTATATTGATAAAGCAGCAACAGGTGCGTGCGTTGATATTTTAAGTACTTCCTTGTGAAACACACATTTAAAATATTTGAATGGTGCAACTTACTTAACTTAAATCATTTTTACCTGATTTTATATATTATCGTATTTTCTTCGCTTATTTCAGTCTCGTTGGAGAATATAACTACTGATGTTCATGAATTAGAGAAGGGTATGGACCTTGTAAGGAAAGAATTCGAACTTCGTGGCAAAGAGAAACACAACACAGTACTGCGAGATTTCTTAAATAATTCCGAAGAAAAATTACGTCGCCTAAAATCTGATGCTCGTGCTGCGGGCGATGCATTCCGAGAATGCGTTGAATTTTTTGGAGAAAGCCCCAGACAAGCCGATGCTAATACATTCTTCTCGCTTCTTGTTAGATTCGCAAGGGCATTTAAGGTATTGCGTTCAGTGTTTGCATATAAATGATTAATAGTGAAAACTTCTTTCGTCCTTTGATCAAAATAGATATAAAAAGTAAATGAACGTAACAAAATACTACAGAGTTAAAGTGTATGCTTTTACAGGCTGCGGATCAAGAAAATGAACAGCGTCGCAGATTAGAAGCTGCCGCTGCAGAAGCTTTGAACGCCTCAGAAGATGTCATTAAACGAAATAAATTAAATCAAAAGAAGCAGCAGGTATGCTTTATTAATTATGTTTTTCCTTTTATTTATTTTAAAGGAAAAACAAGTTACAGCTAGTTAGTTTCGTTATCATAATCGTGTATTGCATGCTGTGCATTTAATAGCTTGTGTTTAATACCAGTTTATTTCTTCACGAACGAATATACTGCCAAAAGAAAATAATTATAATGTAGTTGCATCTATGTATATATGGTCTACATTTTAAGCTTATCCAATTATGATTTATTTTTATTTTACCCAAGTTTGAAAATTAAAATTTAACAACATAAACATTACTATTACTAATTTTTAGTTATGAACCAGCTTTGCTTTAGATTAACATTTTTTATTACACTTTCTAAAAAAGTTTGGAAAGCATCATAGACCTTTTATTTTAAGTATGCTAAATACAATTTTTAATCATTTATGCTTTGTTTTATCGTGTACTGATAATGTATTTCACATAATTGTATATGCATACTTCTTAACGCCCCCCCCTCTCTCTACTCTCTCTCTCTCTCTCTCTCTCTCTCTCTACTCTCTCTCTCAACATCAATGCTAGAAAATTTACGTTTGTTTTGGTTATTTTGATCAAGTTTGTGCCAAAATATGGAACATTCATTTTATGAATACAATATAAATAACTCTAATATTAAAAAGCAAATGAACGTGCATGACATTAAAATTGAAATTAACATTTTGGATTCTACTAAAAAATATGATTAAATGTTAAATTTTGATTTGCTTTTAATTTCCATTTTAAGCTTTGTATGTAATTTAAATTCTGTTTTCTGCAATTTTTAATGTATTTATACTTTCTAAACACACCTGCTTATTTTTCACATTATCTCCAATAATCACGCATGGCTGATCGCTTCATTAAAAAGTTCACATATCTCGACACTACATTTCCAAAGTTCTAATTTATTTATACAATACAATTCAAACAAGAATCACATACCATCACTGAAAAACATGTTCTATGACGATTGTCATTATGATTTTTTTTTTAACAAAATTGTCAATGTTAAATACAAAAAATAATTTAGTATTACAATACTGTGTAGCATTGTTAAGTGTTAATTAAGAAAATATAATGATAATTTGAAAATAATTTTTGCAAATTACAATTTTTGCAAATGAATTTACAAGGCATTTCTTTTCGCTGCATGTTGTGAGATAGCATGATATCTTTCAGGGATTATCACATGATTATAATAATTTTGATTATTTCATGAGTGCTCTTTTAGCATATTTTCCGTTTCACGAACAGACGTAATGTCTATTAAGATATCTCATGAACGTCTATTTTTCTTATTTGTTACATATTTATTTGGATTTAAAGTCACCGAAATTTTGCTGTAACACGAACAAGAGTCTGTTACATCGGCATCTTAATGAACTGGAGCTCAGAACGTAACAATGTAGAAACAATTCACAACATGTAAGTCTGTCCTCAGTCACTTCCTTCTAATAACATATTTTTAATAATTGCATTCGCACATACACTACGCTTAAACAATACACATGTAGGTTCAACTTTTACCATCATACCAAACATACGTATTCAAATCTGTACTTCAAACCACATTCGAAAACAGTTCTCTTTTTATGTTTACCTTTAATCAGAATATTATTCGTTTACAAAAACGTTACTGTATTATTACTTATTTTATTTTATTATTATTATCATTATTGCTGATTGTTTAAACTGTTAGGTTTTATCAAACGAAATCGAAGTATTAATTTATCGTTAAAAATAAGCCGTAGTATTAAATAGTTCTTATTAAAAGCATAAAATGAATGTTTTAAATGATTTATATTTTATTTTATTACTTGTCTTTATCATTAAAGTTTTCCATTAACTTAGTCATCAAATAGAAATTTCTAAATTTTAAATCTATATTGCAAACCTATTTTTAAAGAACTGTCTTCCTAATCTCATGGTACGGACCTATATTCACTCAATTCATATCAATAACAAAAAATAAAAAAATGCATTGGCATGTGTTCTAGCTTGCATTGATGTTGCCTGAGAGAAGTCCTCTATTATCTCTTCCCTATGCTACTGCCAAGAGTCTCATAGATTAGACACGTAAAAATTAACAATATAGCGATTGAAGTAAACAGTATATTAAATTTGCTCACAATTAGTACTAATTAAAAATGATTCAGAAATCTGCTTATGGATAAAACTTTAATCATAAAATGTATACTAATTGGAAGATTTTTTTATTTCAGCGATATAGCTAACATTTTCTCTTTAAAATTTGTATTTCTTTTTTAAAATTCAATTACAGATTTAAATAAGTATTTAAAACAATTTAACGATGTTATAACATTTTACTTGCAATATTTCTTATTCTGAGTAAAGAAAAAGGAAATGGAAGTGAAACCAAAAAAGCCTAAATAACACATTTCTTATAAGACAATACAAAGTATTCTTAAGTATTTAAACTAAGTTTCAAATGTGTTTACATTTTTAATATATATAAAAAAAAAATAATCACTTTAAAGGGAGTACATGAAGAATCTTTTTTGTATTTCATGTTTCAAAGTATTAAAAAATATTAAATATTACATCTCTGAAGATACAATACATTTTAACATAATTTCCAATAGATGTATAATGTTCTTCTTGATAGTCCTAAAAGTTGTTTAAGCAAACATTTTTTGGAAACATAGTAAAAATAGTTTCTGAATGTTTCGTAGTTTTAATATATGTGTTACACTGTATAAAAATAAGAAGAAAATGAAGTACTTAATAAGAATGAAAAATAACGACTACTCTGTTGGAATAATTCATCTTTATTGCTTAAACAAGCTAATTTTGTAATAGAGTATGTCATTAACGGATCGATATCTAATAAATGGTTGGTAATTTTACACAGGACGCTGTGATAAACGAGCTGAAAAATAAGACGAGACTGGTTCAGGAAAAGAAGTTGTTGCAACAAGATGAGGTTTATAATGGTGCTCTAGAAGACATCCTTCTTGGGCTTAGATCAGAACCGTACCGACGAGCAGACGCTGTTAGGCGTAGTCAACGCAGACGTATCGATAATCACAGACTATCACGTACTGCCGAGGAATTAGAACTTTAAGTCACGTTCAATATGATACATTCTTTATTTCAGGAAAACCAATTTCTTTTTTTTTTTTTTTTTAAGGAAAATCTTTGCTACATGTCTTGCAATAATTCATTAACATTCTTCCGTTAAACTTTTTCATACAAAAGCATTTTTGTAAACTTTTTTATTTATAATTTTCTACTTAAATGCAAGTGACAAGATACACATTTACTATAGCATTTAAATTCAACTTCGTTCATATTAATCAAATAACATCGACATACTTTATATTCAAAAATCAAAGCAATTAAAAAAATTTATATATCAAAATTGTTCATAAACACTGCTAAGCGTGAAAAACTTGTGCACCACGCTATTGAAAAATTTTCTACAAATGATACATATAGTATGGTAGAATTGTAGATACAATAATTTGAGACAAATATTCGATTTTGATATTGAATTCTTACGTATGTAAGTTACTAGTACGGTGCTATAAATTCATCGAGAACCAAACATTAAATTTAAAACGTGAATCGTTTCGGTGACATTTTTAAGCAATAACGGTAACAGACATTGTATTTGTTTAATATGTTTTCTTTTTGTTGTACAAATCTAGTAAATGTAGTCATGAAATGCATTCACGGAATACTATACTAAGTAGTAAATTTAGAAATGCACACTTAGAAAGATCGTATGATTATTTTTGCATTGTTTTTCATAAATAATATTTTTAAGTAATTAGATGCGGCAATTGTTTCCGTTTAATTATTGTTGATTGTTATGTGCTTTCAAGATATTTATAATAATTCAGATTTAATTGATACCTGTTGATCATTTTTTTAAGAGAGTTTCTAATTAAAAAAAAAAAAGGATAAAGATGAAACACATTCGATAATGACGAACACAAGAGGCACGTTTGTTTAAAAACAAATTTAAGTAAACCTTCGAATATTTGTAAAACTTTTGGCAAGCTACAGTTTTTCAATTAAATAGTAACATTCCATGGACGTAAAGATCCAACATACCTTAATACAATATTTAAATGACAGAATAACTATTTTAATAGTTATAAAAGCTTGTATATTTACAAATATGAAAGTTCCAAAGCGCAAATATCTCAGCATATTTTTCGCAAAGTTTAAAAGTCATTTCTACAATAGCTAAAAATATATAATTAAGTGGCAAACATGCACAATAACAGTTTATATTCCGTATGAACTTTTTTAAAGAAATTTTTCTTTTATTACGTGTAATAGGTAAAAGTAATACAACTTGCTACATTCCGACAGAATAAAAAATATATAGTAGATTTACTGCAGTTGTTTCCACTATAACGCATATAATGCAATAATGTAACTGTATTTGATCAAAAAGAATAGAATAGAATAGAAATAGATATGTAAAATACATTAATTGACCTGAAAATGAACAAAGAAATAAAAACACTAATAACTAATTGAACAAAGAAGTATAGTTAAAATTATAACTACAACATGGTTGCATTGAAAATTTAATTAGAAAGTTACTAAATCAACAAAATACTTGGTCAAGTGAAATTTATGCATTAGGTGTTTAGAATATCAAATATTACATACTATTGAAATGTAAAATGATTCAAACAAATATTATATCGAAGCAATTTAAATATATAAAAGTAACAATTGAAATTTATAGAAATAAATATAATATATTTATATAATGAAATCATGCGTTATAGTTGAGTCGGCTGTTATTCCAATATTTCACACTGTCCATTGTCATGTAATACAACAACAAACCAGAGCCAAAAATAACTAATTATACGATTTATCTTTTAAAGGGATTATGAAATGTATTTGCCATATAGTTTTGGTAAGATGACACAAATTTTCTACATGCCTCTTTCTGGGTGATTACATATCTCAAGTTTTTGAAAAATATATTATATTTTCACTTTTCTACGTTTTTGATATTATATATTATCGATGAGAAAATGTAAATATTACTGTAATATATGAAGTGCGCTGATAGTTATAATGAAATGTAATTACTAATTGTAGACGAATTGCCAATGTGATGTTTAGATAAGTATAATATCTGTGTGTTATAAATATTATTACATAATGTTATTCATTGCGCCGAAATACGAAGGAAAAATTTCAAACAATTATAACAAAAAATAACGTATCTTATGTATTTTTTGCAAAAATGTAAATACTGTGCATTTTATTAAATAAGTTATGCGAAATAAGCATGTGCTTTACTTTGTATAAAATTTATTACAAATAAATATGATACCAATGTACTGTATAGATATGTATATACATACAAACATAGGTATACATTTTTTTGGTATTTCTGTACCATTTTGTTTAATTAATACTGCACAACTTTTATTCCTGACAAATATTACATTTTTATTAAAATACTGAGCACCATGCTTAAGTACTTAAAAAAGGAGCATAATTAATTGTAAAAAATTTATTGAATAAAGTAAACCTTTTCTAAAGTTTTATTTATTGTTTATGTGAATAGACTACATTATTATAATGTTTTATGTAAAATATGTTTATATACAAATATACAATATACAAAAGGCACAATATATCTACATTCTTTAGATCATGTATAGAAAAAAGGAAATAAAATTTAAGTATACAAGTGTTTACCATCAACAGATAGAACAGCTCTGTTACTGTATATTGTAAAACGAAAGTAACTTTTTTTTTACTTTTTAGAAAGATTGTGCTTTATATAAAACGTACCTAAAAATCATCATCATATAGTTTGCAGTATGTGTGTATTAAAGTGCCAAAAACTGTTCTATCTATTTCACTCATTTTGAACAATATTATACAAAGTTAGAAAAAAATATTGTCATTGTTGCAACCTATGGCGAGTATACGCATATGATTCTTTAATAAACCACAATTCAACGACAGATACTTCGCAAGTATCATTTATTCTTATTAATTACTAAAGCTCACTTTTTAAAAAATTCTTTTCTGCAAGAATAAACCTTTTGATAATTTATAATTGATTACTAATCATTTTGAACAATATTGAAAACAATTTAAACAAGAATTTAATTAAATACTTAAACATAAAAATTTCATGCAGATATAATAAATTTTAAATAACTCTATCTCACAAGTTTTGTTCATTGTAATTACCATTTATTATTTATGAATGTATTTCCACGATTTGAGAATGTAGGTATGCGTATAAAAGTACCTAATGTGTCATAATACAAATCATAATAAAATTGTTTTGAACATGCTATAACACTGCTGTATTATCATCAACAATATCGTAATCATAGAATATCTAAATTCCATTTATTTCATGTAGATTGAAATGTATAAAATTGATTAGATTGAACAGATTAAAATAATCTCTGCATATTTAAAAATATAAAAATGATTTTCTCTTTACTTTTCACGATATTCTATCACATTGTTACTATGTTCTCACAGTCCACGCTACAATAAAATTTTTGAGTATGTTACAAGTATGATTTGCGATAGTTCATAGTTTTTTTTCATTACTATACAACAGTTCGAGAGAAAACTTGCATGATACATAAATGTGATGTAATTGATATAAAATACAAAATATCAAATTAATGTTTCCTTTTATGTTCCAAATGAATTTATAAGGAAATATATCGACATGGAGAAATTTCATTACTTAATTAGAAAAATATATGTTACGTCTATATTAATAAAAAATGAAGTACATATATTATGAAAGACGTATCATGAAAATTTTCCGTAAGATAAAGATTTTATATGCGTTACACTTGTATAGATTCACGAGTAAATTTTTAATTAATGAAGTATCACTAGTATAGTCTCCTTTAAAATATCTCTATAAAAAGTATAAACATTACTCTGAATGAGTACCAGTGAATAAGTTCTGTATACAGGGACATATAAACTGTATAAAATCGTGTATCGTTCGCTTGTCAAAACAATACTCCATTTGAGGCAGTAATTATGTTTCTATATTATAAAAATGTAATATAATTTAAAAATACTCTAAGAATATCAATTAAAACCTGATTAACTTTATAGGAATGTAAAATATATTAGTTACGAAAATATACCAATTATCAAAATTTCACATTGCCTTGCATGATATTAATCATGCAAAAATTTCAATCTCCTAACATTTTATATTACTACACTATATCTAAAATTTTTTATATACAAACACAACAAAATATAGATTTCATTTTCATTAGCTTCAAAAACAATTGATTCATAATGCAATTTTTTTAACATTCTGAGTTCTTCATTGTTTTTGTACAAAAAGTAATAAAAACAAAGATTTTATGTAATAAATGACCAAGACAGAAAAATGAAATAACTGTGTGCACAAAATATAAATGT